TTTCATTTTTATTTTGGTAAAAAAGGCCTTTAAAAAAAATGTGTATTTTTTCTATTCTTCTATAACTTTTTAAACTCCACTTTCATTTTTATTTTGGCTACAAGAAAAAGAACGAAATGACAAGAAAAAGAACATCCCAAATAAAAAGCCCTTCATAAAAAAAAAACACATAAAATATAACATGACTCCCACTACTTTTGAAAGAAGTTCCCTGTTTTACCAAAAATCTGCTGCCGCGGATGACTAGTCTGGTAAAATAGTTTCACTTTAATAAATGGAAACATAAAATGCATTAAATTCATCAAAACATATTTTCTCTAATTAATCAAAAGTTTTAGATACAGAACTCTCCCATTGTTAATTGAGCATGAAAGTGAAAATTTGGAAACCCTTATCTGATGCCAAATTCATTTTCTGATTAAAGGGGAACTGCGTCTCCTATAGAGAATTGCATGGGATTTATACAATGCACTCATACTGACATTCTAGCTTTACTGGAGAAGACTTTTGATGATCTTTTTTTTTATGGTTGGGTTTTACATCATACTTATACAGTATAGGACATATATATTGCTCTGGCATCAACTTTCCAGCTTTACAGGTGGAGGCTTTTGCAGATATAGTTGAATATTTCGTCACACTGATAAAAGTATAGGTCATATGGAGACTTTCCTGCTTTACTGGTGGAGGAATACCTTAGAGGCCCCTCTTTTAATGACTATCCATCAAAGGCCAAAGAGGTCTTAGGTTTAAGTAATATTTACCACAATTTTTAACCCTTTTACACTACACTACAATTCAATTAACTTTTAAAACATCTTAATGTTAACAACCATAAATATATTTTGAAAAAGACAGATTAACTAAATACCCTTTCAATTCACCAGATTGTCCCTTTAACTTAAATACTCGCAGTCAGTTAGGCCCGCTATGCATTTGTAACAGAAGATATCAAATAATGAAGTGAAAGTGTTCGGCCACTTTGATCAGCTGGCTGATAAGCCTCGATATAATGATTCTTCCAGACATAGGGAAAATTTAAAAACAAAATTAAATGGATATTTATTGCCCCGGAACATACCAGTAGATTTCAATCAAAACAACCGCTTATTTTTGTTCACATACATCAAAACTTTTCCCCCAGAAATTTCTTTGTATTTATTTCCAGCCATTTAAAATGAGCGCTGGAAAGATATGAAGAAATTGTTTACACATCATTCATTGGCAGAACTTTTATCACATATTTATCTTAAATTTAGATTATTTTAGTTTATTAATTTACATAGACAGATTATTTAAGACCAAAATAGGACCGATCTTGACCCCATCCCCTTCTCAAAAATGTATAAAATTATTATATTTCTTCCTTTTTCTTAAAAAAAAAAATCCTTCCAGTTATAAATAAGTGTTGTTTTTTTTTAAATGTTTCTTTTTAAAATCTATTGTATTCAAACAGGAGTATTTCTTTGTAGTTTGAAATGATAAATTAATTAGGTAATGTATCACATTACAACATGAGATAGAAACAATAGCTTGCCTGGGCTGATGACAAAGTTCGAACCAACTAGGCCAGCAATCCTTAAATTATTAGTCCATTATGCATTATCATTAATTTAAATCGTTCATTATGAGGAAATTATGTTCATCATATCATCACCATAGTGCAGTAAAAAGGTGAACTCTGTATATAATTAAAAAGAAGTTAACCCATTTGCACTAAGGTGACATATTTCAAATAAGTTTTAAAACATATCTATTTTATCGTACATAGCTTTTAGTATTTTCAAAAACATATCATTTTCCCAAATACATCAGTTTTGGTTTTCAGTGATTTTCCTGCTTAATATAACAGACTCCGATAAAAGGCCTCTTCCAAATTGAAAATTTTCTTAAACTCCATGCTGCTTTCCCAAAAAATCTGAACTTAAACCTGCCTTTTTCCTTCCAAAATTAGCAATTTTCCCCAAAAATCAAGTGGCTTAGAGGCCTCTTCCCAATTAAGTGAGAAAAATCACTGGAAGAAAAGCCTGACGTGTCTATGCGCTAGTGAAATGCTAGTGAAATGCCATATGATACTACCTCAGCCTCCACAAGGTCAGTAGGCATTGATGATGTTTTTATTTTTCTACCATTCCCTTCAAAACGAATATTATCTCCAAACACCCTTTAACCAGATGGACTTTCATTTTTTATTAGAATCATTTGTTTATATCTCTTCTACGCCAAAGTGCGAAAAAAAATGAAATGACATAAAATACATTTGGTACTCAGGGGGGCGAAAAACCATGCCCCATTATTCTTATAAATTAACTAGAACCTGCTGTCTACGAACTGGCTATAAACAGGCATGCTCCAGTGTAATGTATCGTTTATTACATTCGTACAGATTATTTTAATGCAGCCTCTATATATACATCCATTAAACTTCATTACCATCATGTGTGCCTACAAATTACTAAAAATTGGGGTGCTAAAACCTTTTTAATTTAATTACAGCACAAGAAAATCGGCGAATATCAAAACATTGCTCGTATTTTGAATTACACGCCATTAAAGACATAAAATATGTCACCAAGCCACGCCCTCAACCCTGAACTTCCCAGAGGGAATCCCCTGAATCAATTTGTCTATCATTTATAAAGCATCGTAATGTTCAATGTACTCTTTCATAAAAAGACACCCAAGAATAACGCACATATTGTTCTAATTATGACCATTCGTCAAAATTCCCTCTTGATCTGGTATATTCCAAACGAAAAATGGCCACAATGTTACGAAGGGTGGAGAAAATATGTGACTATATCACAACCCACCATCATATCCTTTTGTCTACATCATTTGATAATAAACAGTACACTGTTGTTAAAATCTATCAAAAGTTAAAAGGACATGCAGCATTATTAATAAATTTTCTACCATTTTTTATTCCATTCTTTTATCATTGTTGCTATTTTCCAACTATTTAAAGGTAGTTCTCAAAAAAACTATAATTTTAAATTTGACAAAATTATTTTTCAAAAATAAACATTCTGACATCATGATTTTTGATGACATCATGAAGGAGGGTGCGTGATGTCATGTGGCAAAAATCAGAGGATTTGATTTAAATACATTACGAAAGCATGATGTAAAATGGAAAATTATATAGAGGAAATAATGTTTAGTTCAGTGTTACATATCAGAATATATTTCTCCGAGTGAGCACCAAAAGGTATATTTCACGAGTGGGTCAGCCACGAGTGAAATATAAACTTTTGGTGTTCACGAGGTGAAATATGTTTTGATCTTACACTAAACTAAACAAATTTTCTTTTTATAATATGCAAAGAAATATTTATAAAGACATTTAAGCCTAATACTGAATGAAAATCGCGCAAAATAATATAACAACGCGACGTCATTTACAATGTAAAGTTGGTTTCCAGTACTATGCACGCTGGTATTTCACTGAAACAACGTAACTCGCTTAAATTCAAAACAATGAAAATTATCATATTGATAATTTCACTGTTTCAAACAGTGAAATATCAGTTTTATATTTCACTGATATACTACTGTAAACCACCAAAAAGCATGTAATAAATTTCACTCATGAACACCAACAGTAATATTATTTCACTCCTGACTTACGTACTCATAGCTGCGACATTCATGAAAATTATTGCACCTCCCATTCAGATCACTATGGGAAATAGTATTCCGATATTATATGCAATAAATTGACCAAAACTAAACACAGTCAAACCCTGTGAACAAAGGCCATCCAAGGGAGGGAACTGAACATGGCCTTTTATAGCCAAGTGGTCTTTATTTGGAGGTTACTATGTTCTATTAAATTTAATGAAGGATTGGTAAAAAGTGACCTTTATTTATTTACAAGGTGATCTTTTTTCAGAGGTGGTCTTTCTCAAAGGTTTTACTGTATAGGTGATGAGTGACCTTCATTTATTTACAAAATGATCCTTATTAAGAGGTGAACTTTAAACACAGGTTTGACTGTACTTTACAATATTCTGTTGTTATTTCCTTCGTTAAAACATGACTCCCGAAGGCAATAACTGCTCTCAAATTTAACAATAGTTATCAGATATCCCTGAAAATATTTCTTTCTAACATATGTAACAAGGATAGCAAGTAGTTAATGTCAGTAGGCATCAATTCTAACAGGGTAAAAAATGTTTGTTTTCATCAGGAACATGCCTTCCATCAGCTGCTCGTCGTATAAGCCGTGGATACCTCGACATTTAGTGCCAGTCGCTGTAAATTAGCTTTCCACTTTCTCCTCTGTTTTCTTTCTTTTCTGTTTTCAGTGTAATTTTAATTGATAAGTAAAATATATATTCATAGCATTGTTTCAAGTCTGTGTTTTCCAAGTACGACAAGGTTTTATATAATACCGTAATCTATTTTACTTGCTGTTGATTACTGCCATACATAATCACATTATTGTGTGACAGAACAAATAATCAACAAAGTCTTTTTTACCACACAAAAGATATAAACAAAACAGACTCATTTAACAGGACAGACGGACAGAAAAGAAAGGACAGACCTACAAACCGGTACATTGTAGGGTGATAGACATACAAACTGACAAACAGAAAGGATAGACATACAAAATGACTAACAGAAAGGATAGACATACAAAATGACAAACAGAAAGGATAGACATACAAAATGACAAAGAGAATGGATAGACATACAAACTGAAAGGATAGACACACAAACTGACAAACAGAAAGGAAAGACATACAAACTGAAAGGATAGACATACAAATTGACACATAGCAAGTGGCAGACATACAAACTGACAGAACAGAAAGGATAGACATACAAACTGACAGACAGACATACACACATACACATAAACGGAATAACAAAGACACTATCACATATATAAGAGCAGACCTATACACACAGACAAATATGTCTTATAATATATTATATGTATATTAACCTGTAATTAACAAATGGTAAATAAATGCTATATCTAAACTTACCTATCAAGGCCACCTGACATTAGTCTCTGGTAGTTACTACAAAATGACAAGCATGTAACTGTTTTGTGATGATTACATAACGTAGTGATCAATTTACCACCTGAGAGCGCATCCCAAACTTTTACTGTATTTCCACCTGAAAAACGTAAAGAAAAACATGCGACTTGTTAGCGATGGTTGTTTAGTCATGGTTGTGTTAATGCGCAATTAATATAAGTTAAACCGATCTTAAAATTTGCAATGACAATACTGTCGCTAATGATTAATTATTCTGTTGTTGATAATAGAAAGTCTGCAAAAAAAGTCTCCAAGACAAAAATAATAATGCTTGGCATGACTCTTTATCATTATCATTACCTTTCTGGAAATGAAAATTTAAAAACCCAAACAAATATGTAATAATAATGCCACAACAATATTATAGCCCTGCAAATTAAAAAAAAAATTCTCTCAGAAATCAAGCACAACTAGTGACCAGTCACCAGTATGAGAACATCGTTCACACAAAATTTAAAATCTAATCAAGCATCTTTCATTCTATTTTCTGTTTACAACATGGTCACACTTTTTACCCACTTTCTCAGGCTGTGGCTGACAGGGACCCTGACCTTGTTCAGCACAACTGGCTATTTTATAGCCTTTATCCATTGTTTCAAACAAAAGATTTTTCAATTCATTCATTAAAATTTTATGAGGGAAGTCCGGGGATAGAAGGGACTGTGCCAGCTAAAGCATGGGACCAAAAAGGTGACAACTCATAAATATTCATAAAAACATTAAATCTAATTTGCATATTATGTTTCTTATAAAATTCAATTAAGTTTGATTATGTACACTCATACAGAAGATATTAAATGAAAGTAGGTTAGATACTGAATCTATTGAACAAGTTGAATAAAATTATATTATGCGAGCCTCTGGCTAGCATTGATATTATTTTATTCACCGAGTTCAATAAATTTAGTTAAGAAGCTACATGAATATAATATTTTATTTTTTAAATGTTCAAAATAAAACTGTTTGCCGTTAAAATAAATCGTTTTTTTTTCATTGACGTGCTTATAATTTAACGCTAACATTCAGCGTATTTTTAACACAAATTTTTTAATGATGTCACATAAAATATATTCATAGCCCTGCAATACCGTTTTCATGGAGTCAGTGCAAAAGCAGCATAGGTGTGTGATAAATGAATTAATGTGATTCTTATAATAAACTAAATAAAACATCACTGGAAGGTTTAAATAAAATCATATCATCAATGTGTATACAACAATGAAAATTGGTTACAAACAAAATTTGAACTCTGCAATAAATAACATTGTCATTCACTTTTTATGTTTTTCTGTCTGTTTTTTTACACCAATTTTAACACATTTTTTTTATATTTTTCAGCTGTTGGTTGTTGGTTCACCTAACCATCTTTACTGGATAACTAACCAGCAGTTAACCAGTAATTATCAATTTTTCCACAAGTGACAAACTACTTATCCCACATCATTTCTGAATCAGCGGTGACAGATAAATGACCAGAAATTTTTTTGGCTCGCCTGTGACAAAGGATCAAACTTAGTAACCACTGTATAACAAACCCAGTGCTCTCACTATAGAGTTAGTGCTGAGGCAGATTCTTTCAGATCCATTATCATCATTATTACCATTATCCATAATACATATCATTATTATGATAATTGCTATAATACCTTATTTAAGAATTCAGGTTGTTGTTTGAATATGTTTGCATACAATAATTAGTTTCAAAATAACTGTAATGTTTACTTATTACCGCCCTTTTTGGAACCAAGTTCATTATGTTTTTGCTTCTTACTGTTACTTTCTTAACAATTAACTGGGATATAATTAAACTTTATTTCGACGTCTTACATAAATTTCTTAACAAAAACATTTTTTTGAATAACAATAAAATTTAAAATTTAATTGTCAAGAACTTTGTTGTATTAGTTAGTCATTAAAAAGTTTTTTCGTTTCCGTTTTAATGAGAAAAAATTTATTTTTATGTAAACTCTATGTATGTCACCGTTTTTTTCTCAAATATTTTTTCCTTTTGCAAATTACTTCCTTATTGAATCAACAGAAGAAAAACTAATCTTAGACGTCCATAAAGTGGCTATTATAGAGCCATTCGAGAGATAACAAGATTCGTCCACGCTATACGCGCCCGCCCTATAGCAAAAACCTAATCGAACATTAAACCGTTGCTTTAAATATTTCATACTAATAAATATTTATTACCTTCCCGTTAATAGACACCAGTGTTTTCCAGACAATATTAAAGACAGTTAAGACATTTCAGTCCTTTGGCTTAATCATTAAGAACTTTCCGGAATGAGATTAAATCTAGTAACAAGTGATTACACCGAAAGTTGATTCCCACAGAATGGGACTAATAATTAAACAGAAACTGGGCCCTTTAACAATTCACTATAACGATAAACAATTTACTCCTTGAATTGTCAGACAACATTGTTTAATTATCGAGAGAAAACACGGGCAACATACTTCGCTCTATTGCTTCCGAAGTACTAATTCCCTATGAAAAACGCTGATTAGTCTGACACCATTTCAAAATAAATCTTAATTTTGAAGCTTGAAATTTTAAAGTTTAAACATGAAAACCCGGCTGTCTTATACAATATACAATGTTTTCGCCTCATATTGCCCTAAAAACATTGTAAGGAGGTAATCTATAAGTTGTTACGTCTTACACAATCTGTTAGCTATTGTCTTCGAGCAATGAGTGCCGATTGGTTTAAACGAAAAGCGCTGTTTCAAAATATTTATAACAGTAATCCAGCGAGACTGGCTGGCTAAAAGAAGCCACATTGCAGTGTGGGTGTCGAGTCAAATAGTATAAATGGCAGATCTGAAATAGTCTCCAAACAGTACGTTAGCTTATACAATGATGCAGACAAGGTATTTGCAGGAAGAAGAATGAGAAAAAATTATTTAGGGACAGTTTTTTAAATTTTATTTACCTATTTCTTTTGATAACCTTTAATCATTCTAAATGTCTTTCATTGCAAAGAACTTTATATCAGCAAAATATAATTACTCTTTAGCAAAATTACTAAATTACTTCTACATTAATAATGTATTTTTCTGTTTCCATGTTGGATATCAGCAAAAAGTTCTAAAATGTGTATTATACTGTTTCCATTTCTGATATCAACAAAAATTCTAACATGTAATAGCAAACTTCAACGACAATGTTTTCTATTAATTGACTGTGTTCATCTCTGTTATCAGCAAAATTCTACTAAATTTTATATTTTACTGTTTCCATGTTGGATAATTCGGCAAAAATTCTACTAAAAGTATTTTACTGTTTCACAGATATCAGCAAAAGTAAATTTTGATAAAATCATTGTACTTTACAGTTTCTGTATTACAAAATCATTTACTGTTTTAGACATCCCAATGTGTATTTTACTGTTTCCATAAAGAATATTAGCAAATTAAAAAAAAAAAAAACCTCTTCATTTGGTATTTTGCTGTTTCCATAATTATAGAATATCAGCAAATTAAGAATAAAACAAGAGGGCCATGATGGCCCTGAAGTCGCTCACCTGTATATAGGCCCCTGAAGCGGGGCCAGTTTAAACCCCAGGGGTTTTATTCTAAGGTCTAGCTGGTCAAGTTATTTCTTTACACATTTAGTTAAAAACAGTGACAAACCTGGGGCGGGGCCAATTTTGACCCCAGGGCTTTTATTTGAACAATCTTTGTAGACACTTACTAGAAAATGTTTCCTGCTTAATATCTAAACTCTAGCTTTTCGGGTTTTTTCAAAGAATTTTTTAAGTTTTTGCTATATACACATATAAGGAAAATCAATTTACCCCGGGGCTGGCCCAATTTTGACCCCAGGGCTTTTATTTGAACAAACTTTGTAGACACTCACTAGAAGATGCTTCATGCTAAATATCTAAACTCTAGCTATTTGAGTTTCTTCAAAAAAGATTTTTTAAGTTTTTGTTATACACAAATAAGGAAAATGAATGTCCCCCGGGGCGGGGCCAATTTTGACCCCAGGGCTTTTTTTTTAACAAACTTGGTAGAGACTCACTAGAAGATGTTTCATGCTTAGTATCTAAACTCTAGCTATTTGTTTTTTTTCAAAGAAGATTTTTTAAGTTTTTGCTATACACATATAAGAGAAATAAATGACCCCCGGGGCGGGACCAATTTTGACCCCAGGGCTTTTATTTGAACAAACTTGGTAGACACCCATCAGAAGATGTTTCATGCTAAATATCTAAGCTCTAGCTCTATGGGTTCTTTAAAAGAAGATTTTATTAAGTTTTTACTATATGCATATAGGGAAAATCAATGACCCCCGGGGGCGGGGCCAATTTGACCCCAGGGCTTTTATTTGAACAAACTTGATAGACACTTATTAGAAGATGTTTAATGCCTAATATCTTAGCTCTAGCTCTTTGGGTTCTTTAAAAGAAGATTTTATGAGTTTTTACTATATGCATATAGGGAAAATCAATGACCCCCTGGGGCGGGGCCAATTTTGACCCTAGGGCTTTTATTTGAACAAACTTGGTAGACACCCATTAGAACATGTTTCATGCTAAATATCTTAGCTCTAGCTCTTTGGGTTCTTTAAAAGAAGATTTTATAAGTTTTTACTATATGCATATAGGGAAAATCAATGACCCCCTGGGGCGGGGCCAATTTTGACCCCAGGGCTTTTATTTGAACAAACTTGATAGACACTCACTAGAAGATGTTTCATGCCAAATATCTAAGCTCTACCTCTTTGGGTTTTTTAAAAGAAGATATTTTAAGTTTTTTCTATCGGTTGCCATGGCAACCAGAGTTCTGCATGGAATTAAATTCTTTGAACAATTTTTAAAGGTGACCACCAAAGGAACATTCCTGTGAAGTTTGGATGAAATTGGCTCAGCGGTTTATGAGGAGATGTCATTTAAAGAAAAAGTTTACGGACGACGGACTGACGGACGAAAAGCGATCACAAAAGCTCACCCTGTCACTTTGTGACAGGTGAGCTAAAAAGTTCTTCATTTGGTATTTTGCTGTTTCCTGATGATATAAAATATCAGCAAATAAAAAAAGAAATTCCTCATTTGGTATTTTGCTGTTTCC